GAGGCTTTGATGAGTTGATTCCAGAGATTTATCAATTGGAAAGAGAGGTGTGTTAAAATCACCCAGTATTTTTTTTATATTAGGGTCTATCTGATTCTTAAAGTCTAGTAGTGTCTGTTTTTTACAGTGAGGCACACTGGTATTTGGGGCATAAATATTTATTATCATTATATATTTTTATTGAAATAATTTGACCTGTTTTAAATGACCTCCTTTCTCTTCTGATAATTTTTGTTTGAAGTCTGATTTGTTGGATATGAGCATTGCTACTTTGACTTGTTTAGGGACTCAATTTGAATAGAATATACTTTTTCATCCTTTCTCTTTAAGCATATTGCTATCTTTTCCTATAAAGTGAGTCTCTTGCCAACAACATATAGATGGGTCTTGTCTTGTTAACCATTCTGACAATATTTATCTTTTACTTAGAAAGTTGAGACCTCTTACATTCAATGGTGTTGTACAGAGGTGTTTATTAATTTCTGCCATTTTTTTCTATATGTAATTTGATCTTATTTCTTATTTTCTTAGCTGTTCTTTAAATGAGATTTGTCCATTTTGAGCTCCTAAGTTTGTTTCTGACTTCTGTTTATGTACCATTTAAGTATTTTTGTAGTTCTCTCTTGGAAATTATGAATTATTTTTTGCTTATCTTGAAAGATTTTAATTTTTTTTCCTGTGAAAACCATGATCAACTTACACTGCAATGAAAAATAGTGTTGAGGTATACCGTTCACTGGATACAGAATATAACCTGTACTCAATAAAAGTAAGTTAAAAACTCAGTGGCCAAACAAATGAATAAATATTTTTAAAAAACTCAGTGCCATATGGAAATTGTAGACCATTCATAGATATGGAAATTTTATAAAATTAATTTTGATTTATATTTATAAATAATGAAATTTTAAATAAATCATGTCTTGAAATTAAAAAAAAAAGATTTTAATTTTTTAAAATTCTGAATAATAGCTTTCTTAAGATATCACAATCTTGGTGAACAAGTATTTTATTTAACATTGTTCAGTTCAAAGTCATTCTGGATATTAGCTTTTATGGTAAGAAATTGGAAGTGACCTGATGATTTTTTCTTGAGGATTTGAAAATTTTATTCTTTCTTTATATTTTAGGCCTTTTAATTATAACATGTTGTGGAGAGATTCTATTTTGATCATGTCTATTTGGGGTTCTGAATGCATTCTGTATCTGAATGTCCAACTCATTTCCAAGATTTGGAAATTCTTCTATTAATGTTTCCCTTAAGAGTTTCTCCATGTCATTAACCTGCATCTGAAAACACTCCCCAATTCAAATAAGTCTTAAATTTGCTCTGATAATGTCTCAGAATTCTTGTACATTCTGTTCATGGTTCCTTTTTATTTTCCTTAATACTATCTGAGTGTTTGAGGTGGGACATTTTTTCTCCCAATTCTGAGATTCTGTCATCTACATAATCAACTCCATTGGGGAAACTTTCATATGAATGTTTTATATGATTTAAGGTGCCTTTCATTTCCAAGATTTTGGTTTGGTTCTTTCTAAATATCTCTATCTCTTTGCTAAATTTATCATTCATATCTTGTACTGCCTTCCTCAATTCATTCAGTTATTTTTCTGTGTTCTTGCATAATTCATTGATCATTTTTATAATTATTCTTTTGAATTATTTATATGGTATTTTGTTCACTTTAGTATCATTGGGATAATTTGCTGGTGAATTACTAACTTTAAGGGTGTCATGTTATCCTGGTTTTTGGTATTTCTTATATTTCTATGTTGGATTTTTTCATCTATTGAAGTAGATTTTCCTTCTACACTTATGCATTTGCCTTTTTAAGTCACAGCATTCTCCTGAAAGGGGGTTCTGTAATATCCATTTGTTGTGAACTATTCTATGTACTTCCAGTAGAGATTTGCAGTAGAGTATCTCTACCAGTTCTATAGTAGTGTAATTTGTGTACTTTATATCAAGTGCATTGATTAGTGGCTTCAGAATTACACTTTTCTGTAGGTCTCACATCCTTCTATAGATGGAAATTGGTTGTATATAGCAGGGTTCATGGTTTACACCTCCATGAGTTTTTTTCTGGATTTAATAACTTTGTATATTCTAAAAGGGTATAGGAAAATTATATTGAGATGCTTTGTCCACAGTCTTTGTGTTATTTTCTGTGTTTGTGCTTAGGGAGCAGTAATTCAGGAGTGGCACCTGAGTCCCTACCTCCAGCCATTCCTACTTAGGACCTAATTATCAGATTGAGGATTTCATCTCCTTTACTCTTTGTATTAAAGTAAAAAGTAAGTGTTATCTGTGAAATCCATACTACTAATAAACACAACAGTAAAAGTAGCAGGGGTGAAAATTTTGTGAACTAAATAGTTCTAAATGGTGATAAGAATACATTTTATTTAAAGGAAATAAAGTGGAACAAGAAGAAAGTTTGGAATAATCAGTACATTAAGCAGAGAGAAGGAAACAAGATAGCATGTGAGGGCTAAAGTAGGTGTAAAAGAAAAACATAGAAAAGAGAACAAAAAATAACATAGAGCAAGATCATCTGGATATTAGATGAAGAAAAAAGGAAAGAGTAACAATGAAACAAAAACATAAAAAGAAACACTGAACAAAACAAATACAAATATTAATCCTCAAAAAATAAAACAGAGGAAAATAACAAATGGACATTTTTTAAAATGATGAACATAAAAAAGGAAAAAGAAACAAATATATGTGTGTGTATATTCATAAAACTATCAGCAAATAAACACACAAACACACACACACAGAAACATTTTCATGAAACCTGAAAAAATATTCTCTGTGGAGAGGGTCAAAATTTGACAAGGATAGGTGTTCTCTGCCTATGACAGACTGACCTTATTTCCATTACTTCCTGGACTCTCTCCCCCCTAGATAGAGCAAGAAATAGATAAACTCTTCCTTTTCTGTGTTGCTCACAAGGCTTCCAGCTAGATTGTCCTGGAACCAAAACTGGTTGAAATAGCTCTCATCTTTTCTTCTCATCAGTCTAAGGTAGAACTGTCAGTGAAAGAGGGAGAACTGTCAGTGGTGTTCCCAGGGTGGAGATTATAGAGTTTAAAATGGAAATTTCTGGTGATTGGAGTTTATCTCTGCTCCAAACTTTAGAGCTTTGTATGGTGGTATTGTTAGGGGACAGACTGATGAAAATGGTGGGAACGTGACATACTTTCTTTTACAAGAAGCAATTTACCTGGAGCACTATCTGGCCAAAGTGGACAGGATATGTCACATTCCTCAGTAAACTATCTTTTATTTCCAAGATTTTAACCACTTTTCATTTCCAAGATGTTAACTGCAGGAGAAATGCAGGCCCAAGATAACATCAATGAGAGGAACAAAATTTACCCTGAAGGGTAGACTTTTTTTACCAGATCCTGAAACCCTGGAGATTAGATTAGTTCCTTTTAACCCTAAAATCTGTAAAAATGTATCATTAAGTATCCAATTACAGTTTCAAGGACTATGTTAAATATAAGTGGTGAAAGAGGGAATGGTTTTCAATTTTTCTCCATTTAGAATGATGTTTCCCTTCGTATAGACAGCTTTTACAATATTGAGCTATGTTCCTATTATCCCATCATAATCTATTCCAGTCCCCTCCCATCACTCACACATTTCACTCAGAGATTATGCTGTCAATTTCAAAGGGAAGTCCTCTTCGTTCTTCTCCACTCTGCAGACTGATTGACTAGTCACTCTGAGTTTAACCCCACACTGTATTCTCATAAAAGAGTATTCTCTCTTTGTTGCCCAAATCAGCTCTCAGTATGGACACTCACAGATATTCAAAATGCATGTGTACCAAGTGAAAGACAACAATGAAGAAAAAAGAGGGAGAAAGAAGACAAATAAAACAGAAAATGCTATCTTAAAAACAAGGATAAAATTCAGGAACTCCCAATTGGGGAATCAGGAAGGATAATTAACAAGTTCCTTTAAGCTGTCAGGGCTTCCCTGATCCAAACACCTCTGCTGGAAGGCTCCAAGACCTTTTCGGGGAGTGGTGGTTCACTCTCCAGCCAGACACATCTAAAACATTCTCCTGAGTAAACACAGCTCAGCTTTCCTGAATTTATTATCTGTTCTGATTGTGGATATATTGGTCAGTGTCTGTTTTTCTTGAGCTAGGTGGTAGAAAGACTTTTGGCTTCTTGAGAAATGCTTCCCTTCTTGCCACTGAGTGATTACATTCCTGACTCTTCCACTGCCTTTATTATTTCTCTTTCTGTCCTGAAAACTACTCATTTTTGTTTTCTCCTGGTTATTGGTACACTAAGTTGCTCCCTGCTCTTTCCCATCCTTCACCTACCTCAGTTTGTCACTGCAAACTCTTGAGGACCTACTCTGACACTCTGGATCCTTCTGAGTTACCAATCTCCAAAGGAAAATATGTTTGCAATAATTCTTTCTACACATTACAAAATGAGGCTTACATCAAGGATAAGCTGACAGTCCCAGAACTTCAGGTAAGGATTCATTGATATTTTGTTTTCATGGTTCTTTTTTAGTAAATATAATTAGAGTAAGCATAGTTGACTTGAATTCCAAATAGTGTATCATATTTTAAAAACTGAATCCCATGCCTAAAACATTATTTGTTGTTTATCTATGATATGAATATAACAGGATATCTTGTATTTTACCTATTAGTAAATACAGTATATAACAGTTAAAGAGAAATTCACATGAACAGTGAATAATTTTCAGTATATCACTTGCAAAGCTTGGGATAATATTTCACAAAAAATATTTACTAGTTATCATGAATTGAAAGATTTTCAATGTCCTCAATTTCATCTGATCATCCTACTTGCTCTGCTTCTCAAATTGTACCAAGACACTTGTTCTGAGAGCACATCCTCATGTAGAACCAAGAAGAAATAAATTTTTATGTCCTGATGCCATGTACATTACCATACCATGGTTTTAGAAGAGAAAGACAAAAGGGAGCTCATACCTTGAGGAAATAAAAAAGAAGAACATCGGTATAGACAGAACCAGCTGAAGAGTATGCCAGTTTCGAATAGCAAAAGCCAGGCTTCCCAGTAGGATATTCCCGAAACTAGTAGCACACACTGCCATTGTTGTTCCCATAGCTTGGTATTTGGGACTTGTCCATTCTACAACTGAAAGAAAACATCGTTGAATAATTACTTCAAGCAAAGCTAGAATATCAAGGTCAAAGTCAAATCTCAGTAAATGTCCAAGAGTCAGTGCTGACTTACTGAGAAGAATAGCATTTGTCAGGATGGTCGTGGTGGACATGCCAGCCAGGAAGCGTAGTGAACAGTACACCAGGAAGGTGGGAGCAAAGGTAGCACAGGTGTCAGCAATGGCCAGCTGGAGAAGACACCATGTCAGAAGTAACCTCCTCCCAAATCTATGGAAAAGGGTAAGATGAGATTGTGGGAACAAAACAACTGTGGTAAAAATTAGCACAAAGAAAGCACTTCACACCTATGAAATATCCATAAAGGACCAACAGCTGATATTCTCAAATCAACTCTCCTTCTTTTAAAATAGATAGCTTGACCTCACAACTACTTCTTGAATTGTTACCAGTAGTTCAACACCAATTCAAGCTATACAAGACATGCTGCAGTGTTAGAAATATTAATACCTCATAAATATTTCTTGCACTGAGCCATACACTTATGATAGTGGAGAGTCAACGTTGTGTATAAAATATTAAAGTCAGCCCTTGAGACTCTAGAACTGCACAAGTTATGGCTAACATGATGTAATAGGAACAGCTATGAAGCAGTACATCAACATTGCTGATGGGTTGGGTAAGAGTCCCTATCTGCTGAGTGGATTTGTTGACCTTGGAAACAAAACATATTTGTAAAAATATAACATGTATTTATCACAGCAAAAGAAAATATAAAGTTGACCTTTTCTTAGGTTTGGGAAGGCAAGCATTGGGTGGTAATCTGCTTGCTCATTCCCCAAAGGTGGCTCAGGAACACTGTTATAGATCTCCACTGTGGAGCACTATGTAGCAATTAGAAATATGAACTAAAAGTACAAATAGGAATATGTATGTATCCCAAAAATAGAGTGGTAAGTACACCATGGAGAGAAAGGCACAACACATTTAAATTACATGTAAATTAAGTGCATAAACCCAACTGTCTCATTTTGTAAAATATGAATTTACAGATGTATAAGTAACATACTATAGTGTCCCTTATTGAGAAGAAAAGTTTGGGATGCTTCCATGTATTCTAAAGAAAAATCTCCCAATATTCCATTGAAGATTCATTGTATGTGAAAAAGCACTTTTCCTTGCTTCATTGGGACTTCACTCTTTTTACTCTTAAACATTTTTAGGATAATGTAGCATAGTGAAGTCCTTTGAGTTTACCTACTGAGATTTTATTTTCATGATGCCCTGGCATGACACTGACAATGTCTTTTTCCTGTCTACATATTCAAGCAGGCTGAATCTGATGTGAATCTGATATGGTGGCATATCCACCTCTGTGTCCCCATTGTTAACTGTTTGCAATCTTTCAGACTCCATATTGTGGTATCTTCTCTCCAAAGCCTCTGGTAAAACACCTCCAAATCTCATGCTAATTTTCTACACACAGGACTCAAGTCTTTTATAAACAGCATTCATCACACTGAATGACATTTTGCATTTGTGTTTGTAGATCCCTGGGAACAAAGGTACAACCAGGACAGTGTAATTTGTAATAATTTTTTCATATGCATAAATGATTCATAAGCTGATGATAGTACCCAGGGGTAGAGAGATCTGTGAACCAGAGACACTCACCTGTCTGACAAAGTGCCATATACAATGTTTCCAATCAACATTCCAGCCATGAAGAAGAATTTAGATACTGAATTCAGTGACTGAGATTCACATACCAGATCCCACTGGAAGACAAAGAAACCAGCATAACAAAACACCTTCACATGACCTATAGTTTTCTTTATGTCAGGCCCCTGTGTTCTTTTTGTAGCTTCTGTTTTCAAAAACACTGCAATTATATCATCCTGTTCTCTGTGTAAAATAATTTTATCTAGGAAGACTGCCTTATACCTATGGGTTCCATTAATGATCACTTTAACCCATACCAAGAAGTTCTCAAATGTGGCCACAGACCACCATCATTCAAAGATCTTGAGGAATTTACTGAATCTTGAATACCACTGCACACTTTCCCACATGATTACTCTAGAAATTCATTCTGTGTACCCAGGTTTTGATCAACCAACCATACATATCTAATTGGCAGTCAAGGCAGGGTGTTACTGATTTAGCATCACATTTTTAACAAGACACATATTTACTTACTTAAACTGTGATATTCACAAGAATCAAAGTACCATGACAGTAGGCTCCTATTTGTTTTTTATCATTACATTAAGTATGTTCCCTGAATTGCTTTTTTAAAAAAAACCAGTAGTTTCTGAAAAAAAAGAAAAGAAGAACCAGCACTCACACAGCAATTAAAGACTCAAAGCATGTTCATTATTTTCATTGTTTCCACACATCCAAGTCAAATACTTATGAGTGGAAAATTAAGCCTTTTACCTCAGTCACGGTGGTGGAGAGGAACAAGCTCCGGTCATATACCCACCCATCCATGCAGGGCTCCGTGTCCACCTCACTCATGTTTGAGAAGGTTCCATTCATATGAAGGAGCTGCCATTGTGGGTGGATGAAGCGATGACATTTGTCTGGCCTCAGGCTTGAGTCTAGTGGGATGGAGATCCTCAGGAGGGCTTCTTGGCTGAGGGTCCCAATGTCATTGTCAGAGACAGTGGCATTATCGAGTATGTGGACCCAGCAGCGATGACCAACGATGACTGCAGTGAAATTCTCCAATAAAGTATGAGTCTGTGCCATGGCATTGTAGGTAAAAAGAAAAGCCATATGAATTATCTGGAACCTTCCCAGACCACCAACTTGATCCAGGAGGTCCTGAAAGGCCATAGTGGTTGAATGACCCTCACCAACTGAAGACAAAATCGTTGTATCTAGATGAGTTCAAAGAACAAAGTGTTCTATCCTCTCTCACTGTGACACAGCAAAGGCTGTTGACCCTGACCTCACTTTCTTCTTAATGGCCCCCTCTTCACCTCTATGGCAATTCCACGAAGCTAATATCCCCTAGTCATCCTCAGGTTACTTGGTGGCTATTTTCTTTCAATCACTGAGAGAGAGATTTTGCTGAGGTGCTTCCTACAATTAAATATGTTAATGATCTACTTTGTGAAAATTCTTGTTGTGGGCAATGAACTGCAGTTAATATTGGACATTGATCTGCAAATACTCTGAAAACAAACCAGAGTAACTCTGCTACATGCTTTGTGATTTTTTTAGAGAACATGTAGTTTGCAATACTCATTGAAGTGTTTGATTTTTCTAGGAGAGATGGAGAGAGATTTTTGGTTTGATTAGTACTAAATCTTGATTGACAGAGGTTGTAAAAAAAAATCACCCAAACTAAATTAATGCAGTGAAGTGTTATGGTTTGGATGCAACATACCCCAGAAAAGTTTATATGTTAGGCAATGAAGTAACATTCAGAGGGGCTGTAATGAGTTTACGAGTGCCCTAACCTCACCACTGGGTTCAATCATTTGATGGATTAATAGTGAGTGGCTACTGGGTGGTAACTTAGGCAGATAGGGCTTGGCTGAAAGAAGTGGATCACTGGGGACATTCATTTTTAAACAGAAGTTTTGAGAGCTGACATTCCTGTAGAATTTTATGGGAAGCATTCAACTGTCAGCCTCTTCCATGATGATCTCTGTTGCATGGACTCTCTCTCATCCAGCAAGGAGGTCCACAGTACAGGGTAGAGAAGAGTGTGGCTGCAGAATTGCTAACAAAGACCTCTGGAGACCAAGCAGGAAGCAGGTCTGCTTTTATTGCACAATGCTATGTATATACACCCAGGTAGTAGCCAAGCAGAATACAGGCAGTGACCAATGCAATTTCTACTAACCATCCTTGCAGCAACCAATCAAGGAGTGGGCCATGGAGTAAATGCAAGGACTGCAACAGATGGCCTCATGCCCAGGGCTGTGCCTATGGGGTTAGCAGCCTGCCACTCACATGCCTAGCACAAGGAGAGTGGCCTACCACTCACACACCCTTAACTTATGCCACATATGCAATACTCTATGACTTGTTCCCAAATCTCCCCCCTCTGGCCTTTACATGGTTATGTAAGCATCTACAACACAAGAAAAGAAATCACTATTATAAAGAGTAGGGCCAGTAATAGCATTATAAGGATTAGTTAACTTGGCTATAAGGTTTTTCCAATGTTTAGTCAATCCCTAGAAGAAGGAAGAGGTTGTGACGATAAACACCTTAGTCTCACTGATTTTGACAATTGCCTTATTAAGTTCATACATAGTCATAACATAGTTTGCATCCCATATGCCCTTAATATACTGAGAAAAATTGGAGAAATGTAAGGTTACATTTTCAGATACAGCATATTGGGGGTGACACAAATACTATGGAATTCAGGGTCACAAGTGAGCCTTTGCAACATATACAGAATATCTGTTTGTTTGTTTGTTTTTCTGGTGGAAGTCTAGTTCTTGCTGAATGTCTAAAATAGTATCTCAGGAGAGTTTATTTAAGTCATTTTGAACAGTAAAGATTTATGCCATGGCAGTAGACAAATTGTTTACAGTCTGAGTAGTCTGGATACTCTGAGTGATCAAAGAAGTAGCAGTGGTTGTGGTGGTGATGGCGGCTACCAGGGCAATAATTTCAGTGATGACGAAGCTAATTGCACACCTTATCCAGTGTTGGGTCTTATTCAGAAGATTTTTCATCTCCATGTCCCATAGACTCCTTCATTCTCTGGACATATTCATTGTAGCCAAATGTGGCTGGCAGCATGCTGAGGATAAATATATGTTTAGCTTTCATATCAGGGGTTAGACAATTTGTGAGCCAGCAGGATATATTGACTGCACAAGGGATCTCTGTATGAGTGATATTTATGTCATCAGTATCATTGATTATTAGCATGGCAAAGAGTGGTATAACACAAGCTTTTGCATAGTAGGTATGGTATAACTTGGCATAAAGGCAAATCCATGGTCAGGGTCTGAACTCAATATAGCCTCATTCATCCAGCCAACTGCTGCCCATTTGATGCGTCTAGCAGCTAGCAATATTGGCATTATATCCATCATGCCATATTTATTTCCTTCAAAACTGTTAGTGAAAGCTTGTTCCATGTAGTAGATACTGTAGTAGCCATATGATGGGGGTGGGGGGCACATAAGTTACATTCCCAGGAGTTGCGCCTGCCCAGGCGCAATAGATGTTCTTCCCTGGAAAAATTCCTCTTATCAAGGAGATAAGGTATGGCAGTGACACATTGATTCCATGGGATGCTATCATTATCTGAGGGGGGCTTTCCAAGAGGCATTGTTGGGCATGTTGGCAGCAAGAGTTTCTTGCATTTTCCATGGGGGAGTCTATGGCTATAGGTAGCATTAACTAGAACTCTAAAGTCAGAGAGAGACAGGCAACATATGATGTGTTATAGTTATCTACAATAGTTTCATGGGCAAGAGCAAACCGAGAGGACTGTCCTGATGGTAGGTCTTATTATCAACTATGGAGAAACAAATGGGAAGAGTAGGTATGGAAATGCTGGGATTCCAGGGTACATTTACCCCCTGGATGAATAACTCAGGATCAATAATGTTGGAATTATTGTAAAAGAGCTTGGGTAGTGCTCCTTCCCAATTGGCCACTGCTAAAAGTGGTGGCTTAGTGACCAAAGCCCAATTTAACTGATGGGAGGCTTCAACGTTAGCAGTGAGCAATGAACACACTATGACCATCATCATAGGCCCAAGGATGGGGTTGCCACCAGGCAAAGGGGCTAATCTGGTGGCTTAGTCAACAAGACCTTTAAGGTTACTCCAGGTTACTTTATGTGAGTCCATTTGCATTGTTGAATTCTTTGCTTGTGAAGTTTCTCCTCCAGAGTTAGTTCCTTCATCTTGGTTGGTGGTTCTGGGTGTCCAGGGCTTGACTTCCTGGCAGGCACCCAGATGGAGTGAGGCTCCTGTTAACATATGTAAATCCTCCACCCATGGTTAGGAAGGGCCCTGGACCATCCCATGCATTTGTTATGGGATCCTTTCATGAGACCGTTGGTGGATGGGAGGGTCCCATGAGTGGGGCCCAATGCTTATGAGCTACTATTTCTGTAAAAAATTTTGAAATTGAAAGAAAATTTAAGGCAAATAAGGTTTTGTTCAAGGCATCACGAGGGGGCTTGGTATAGTTTCCCCTCTCTATTTTGCAGCATGGTCTTTAAATTCCTTGTGTGTTCTTTCTATGATGCCTTGAGTCTAAAGGATGTAGGGGATCCCAGTTAAGTGCTGTATGTGCCAACCATTGCAAACTGCTTGAAATGTCTTACTAGTATAGGCTGGTCCATTGTCAGATTTAATAGACATGGGAACATCCACAATTCCAAAATATTTAAGTAGATGGGAGATGATCTTTTTGGTGGTTTTTCTTGTGGAGGCTGTGGCCATTACACAGCCTGAATAGGTATTAATGATTACTTTAATATACATATTTTTTCAAAAGGTGCATAATGAGTGACATCCATTTGCCATAAAGCACTAGATTTTAACTCTTGGGGGTTCACTCCAGCAGGTTGTAAAGGGACAATGGGAAAAAGGGAGCACTTTTTTGCAGTCTCTGAGTAGTTGTTTACAAACTTCCTTAGTCCTGCTTTTATGCAACTGCCATGGCTGAGGCCAGCAGAGAGGATTGAGCTGCTTGTGTCCCTGTATCCTGCGTGGCCAAAATCCAGTCATCCAGTGTGGCATTTCGTACTGGTACCATTGCATCTCTATGTTCCATATTTAGTCCATCCCAGATCATTTCCTTGGTTAGGGTTGCCCTATCTCTTTCATGAGACACCTTCCCTTCTACCACCTTGTTTACTCTTTAATAAACTGTGGCACCTCCTCAGTGGCTTTCTGCCTTATGCCCTGTATAGAAATTGTCCTTCCCCCAGCTGGTAACTTCCTCCAGGCTCTCAGAGCACTACAAAACATTCTAAATAAGAGAGGTCATGAAGAAAAAATCAAAAATAAAAATGAAAACCAGCAAATGGAGGAAGTACACTAAAAGAACAGTGAATCAATGGAGAAACTAATTCAAAGTCAAAAGCAGAAATAAATCAACATGACAGATAGTAAAAGTCACCTCAATAATAGTAATGAATGTTAATAGCATAAACTCATCAATCAAAAGACATAGACTAGCAGATTGTATTAAAAAACAAGACCCAACAATGTGCAGTCTTCACAATACTCATGAAATGAACATAAAAACATGGGGAAAAACACATCATACACATGAATCTCATGACAAGAAAGGATTTATATGCTCATAAGAGATAAAGTGAACTTTGCCAAACTTAACTAGAAGGGACAAAGAAGAACATTTCATACAGCTTAAAGGAATTATACATCAACAAAATATAATAATAAATATTTATGCCCCAAATAATGGAGCATCAATGTACATCAAAAAAAAAACATTCTCAATTTTAAGAATCAAGTAAACTAAAACACAATAATACTGGGTGGCTTTTAACACACCTCTCTCACCACTGGATAGATCATCAAAACAAAAACTAAATTAAAAATCTATAGAACGGCAAAATATAATCTAAAATTTAGACTTAACAAACATACATAAAATATTTCATCCATCAAAGGCTGAATCAATTTCTTCTCAGCAGAACACATATCCTTCTCTAAAATATACCATTTTATAGGCCATACAGCAACTCTTAGCAAATATAAAAAATAAAGGTAATTCTTTGCATATGATCCCATCATAATAAAATAAAGTTAGAAATCAATGATAATATAAAAAATAGAGGCTACTTAACACATGGAAATAAGATAATATGTTATAGAATGACAAACAGATAGCAGAAGAAATCAGGGATAAAATTTAAAAATACAGGTAAATTAGAATAGTGATACAACATATCAAAATTTACAGGACACTATGAAAGCAGTCCTAATAGTCTTCATTCCTTAAAAGTATAGAAAGTCAACAAATAAATAACCTAACATTATATCTCAAAGCCCTATAATAAATCAACATCAAAAGCAGTAGAAGACAAGAAATAATTAAAATCAGAGCTGAAATCAATGAAATCAAAGCAAAAAATATCCAAAAAATTGATAAAAGAAAAACTTTGTTCTTTGAAAAAAATCAATTAAATTGATAAAACCTTAGCCAATCTAACAAATAGAAAGAGACAGAAAACTCAAATTGCTAAAAACCATGAACTACATCCAAGAACAGCATCAAAAGACCAAATCTAGGAGTTATTGGGATAGGGGAAGGCACAGATTTTCAAACCAAAGGAATGCGCAATCTCTAAATGAGATAATATAAGAAATTTTCTCAAGCATGAAGAACAAATTGGAAAACCAAATACAGAGGCTTACAGAAAACCAAATGTACATAATTACAACAGATCTACACCAAGGCACATTATAATGAAAATGCTTAGCTACAGAATAATAATAGAATCTTAAAAGCTGTAAGAGAGAGAAATCAGATCACATATCAGGAAAGAACAATTCATATCTCAGCAGATTTTTCAACCCAGACCCTCAAAGCCAGGAGATTGTGGAAAATATATACCAAGCTCTGAAAGAAAATGGATACTAACCAAGAATCTTATATCCAGCAAAATTAAGCTTTAGATTTGAGGAGAAAATAAAAACCTTCCACCATAAACAAAAGTTACAAGAATTTACAACTAGAAAGCCTGCACTACAGAACATCCTCAACAAAGTATTTCAAGAAGAGGAAATGAAAAACAATGATGAAAATCAGCAGAGAAAGGAATTACACTAAAGGAAAATCTAATCAGAGGAGAAAACAAGTCACGTTAAATACCAAAAAACAAAAAATGGCTGGGAATATAAATCATGTCTCAAAAATAACCCTGAATGTTAATGGCGTAAACTCACCAATCAAAAGACATAGACTTGGGCTGGGGATGTGGCTCAAGTGGTAGCGCACTCGCCTGGCATGTGTGCGGCCAGGGTTCAATCCTCAGCACCACATACAAAGAAAGATATTGTGTCCACCAAAAGCTAAAAAATAAATATTAAAAAATTTTCTCTCTCTCTCGCTCACTCTCTCTCTCTAAGAAAAGGGGGGACTTGGTTAGAAAAAAACAAGGGAGAGAAATGAATTACAGTAGATGGGGTAGGGAGAGAAGATGGGAGGGGAGGGTAGGGGAGGGGGATAGTAGAGGATAGGAAACACATCAGACACTAGTATGGCAGTATGTATAAACGTGGATGTGTAACCCATGTGATTCTGCAATCTGTATATGGTGTAAAAATGGGAGTTCATAACCCACTTGAATCAAATGTATGAAATATGATATATCAAGAGCATTGTAATGTTTTGAACAACTAATAAAAAAACAAACAAAGAAATTCTAGCCCATCAAATACAAAATATGTCAAAAATATAGTGCACCATTATCAAGTGAAGTTCATCCCAGGGATGCAAGCTTGGTTCAAAATACAGAAATCAATAAATGTAATTCATCACATGAATAGAATTAAAAATAAGAATCATATGATCATCTCAGTAGACATAGAAGAAAACATTTGACAAAATACAGCATCCCTTCATATTATAAACACTAGAAAAACTAGGGATAACAGGAATATATCTCAACATCATAAAAGCTATCTATGCTAAGCCCCAGGCCAACATCATTCTAAATCAAAAAAAAAAATTGAAAGCATCCCCTCTAAAAACTGGAAGAAGACAGGGATGCCTACTTTCACCACTTCTATCTAATGTAATTCTTGAAACACTGGCTAGAGAAATTAGAAAGGTGAAAGAAATTAAGGAGATATGGCTAGGAAAAGAAGAAGTCAAATTAATTCTATTAGCAAATGATATTATTCTGAACCTAGAAGAACCAAAAATTCTACCAGAAAACTTCTAGAACTAGTAGATGAATTCCACAAAATACCAGGATACAAAATCAACACCCATAAATCAAGGGGATTTCTGTACATCAGTGATGAATCCTCTGAAAGAGAAATGAGGAAAACTACCCCATTTACAATAGCCTCAATAAAATAAAATACTTGGGAATCAACTTAACAAAAGAGGTAAAAGACCTCTACAATGAAAACTACAGAATCCTAAAGAAAGAAATTAAAGAAGTCCTTAGAAGATAAAAAGATCTACCTTGTTCTTAAATATGCAGAATTAATATTGTAAAAATGACCATACTACCAAAACACTATGGAGATTTGATGGAATTTCAATCAAATTCCCAATGATAATCCTCATACAAATAGAAAAATTAATCATTAAATTCATCTGGAGAAATAAGAGACCCAGAAAAGCTAAAGCAATCCTTAGCAAAAAGAGTAAAGAAGGTGGCATCATTATACCAGACCTTAAACTATACTACAAAGCAATAGTAACAGAAATAGCACAGTATTGGAACCAAAATAGACTTGTAGACCAATGGTACAGAATAGAGGACACAGAGACAAACCCACATAACTACAGTTATCTTATATTAGACAAAGGCTCCAAAAACATGCACTGGAGTAAAGATAGCCTCTTCAAGAAATGATGCTGGGAAAATTGGAAATCCTTATGCAACAAAATAAAATTGAACCCCTATCACTCACCATGCATAAAACTCACCTCAAAGTGTATCAATGACCTAAGAATTAAACCAGAGAAAAATTAGGCCTAAATCTACATTATGTTGGCTTAGGCATGGACTTCCTTAATAAGACTCCTTTAGTGCAAGAATTAAAATGAAGAATCAATAAATGGGAAGAATTCAAACTAACAAGCTTTTCTCAGCAATAGAAACAATCAGTGAGGTGAATAGAGAGCCTAGAGAATGGGAGGAAATTTTTACCACAAGCACATCAGATAGAGCACTAATCTCTAGGATATATAAAGAACTCAAAAACCTTAACACCAAAAAAAACAAATAACCCAATCAATAAATGGGCCAAGATACTTAAGACACTTCTCAGAAGATGATATACAATTAATCAACAAATACCTAAAAAAAGTTCAACATCTGTAGCAATTAGAGAAATGCAAATCAAAACTAAGATTTCATCTTGCTCCAGTCAGATGGCAGCTATTAAGAATACAAACAACAATAAGTGCTGGCAAGGATGTGAGGGGAAAGGCACACTCATATATTGCTGATGGGACTGAAAATTGGCGCAGCCAATATGGAAAGCAGTATGGAGATTCCTTGGAAAACCGGGAATGGAACCACCATTTGACCCAGCTATCCCACTCCTCAGTCTATACCCAAAGGATTTACAAACAGCATACTGCAGGGACACAGCCACATCAATGTTTATAGTAGCACAATTCACAATAGCTAAATTGTGGAACCAACCTAGATGCCCTTCAGTAGATGAATGGATAAAGAAATGTGGTATGTATACACAACGGAATATTATTCAGCATTAAAAGAGATTACAATTGTGGCAATTTTCAAGTAAATGGATAGAGTTGAGAATATAATGCTAAGTGAAGTTAGCCAATCCCCAAAAAAACAAATGCAGAGTGCTTTCTCAAATTTAAGGATGCTTATTTATAATGGGGTTGGGTGGATCATGGGAGAATTAGATGAACTCTAGATAGGGCAAAGAGGAGGGAAGAAAGTGAGGAGTCATAGGAGTAGAAAGATGGTGGAATGAGATGGAAATCATTACCCTAAGTACATGTATGAAGACATGGATGGTGTGACTCTACATTGTATACCATCAAAAATATGAAAAATTCTGCTGTATATCTGTAATAGGAATTTAAATGCATTCTGCTGTTATATGTTGCATCTCATGACTAAACACTCAAGGTCACTGCAGATGAACTGGGCTGGCACAAAATAATCACACAGAGACAGAGAAATATCTTTTTCTTTGGGTCCTATGATGGCTCCTCTGACTTTATGGGTTTGTGAAAAGAGAGGGAAAGAGGAGCATGTGCTGAACCATTTTATTGGGGAGAAGCCACTCAAATGAGGCAAGGGGTCAGGTTTCAGGGGGTTGAGTCTAGCTTCATGATGTCTGCTGTCAGGAGGTTGACTGACATCTAGGAAGGCCATGCCCAAAGGCAGAACAAGAGAAGGTGAAACACACAAAGGGAGTTTCCATGGAACATTCTCTTCCAAACAGGGCAAAGAGAGTAGAATTACAAAGGAATAGGTGAGTATAGCTCAACCCCCGCAAGTGATCCCTACACCTGGAGCCATGCCTTGCTATCTGAGCTGGGGTAATGCCCAAGTTACTGGGAGACCTGGCATTATAGTGCCAGACAGAAGGCTATAATTGATCAGTGCCCAAGGGCATCACAATTTCACTGTAGTTTTAGGAGGAATCAGTGTTTTAATAGAAAAATTTTTTTTCAATATTTATTTTTTAGTTTTTTGGCGGACACAACATCTTTGTTTGTATGTGGTGCTGAGGATCGAACCCTGGCCGCACACATGCCAGGCAAGCGCGCTACCGCTTGAGCCACATTCCCAGCCTGAAAATTTTTTTTTAATTTATTTATTTTTCTCCATTTTGGTACTAGGAATTGAATTCATGGGCACTAAACACTGAGCCACATCCCCAGCCATTGTTCATATTTATCTAGAGACAGAGTCTTACTGAGTTGCTTAGTGCCTCACTTTTGCTGAGGCTGGCTTTGAACTTGAGATCCTTCTGCCTCAGCCTCCCAAGATACTGGGATTACAGGCATGCACCAACACACCCCACCTTTTATTGGTTCTTTTAAATTAAATATAAAGTTAGGATTCATTTTGACATAATTTTAACAGTATGCAATATAATTTGTTCTAATTCAGTCCCCACTACTTCCCTTTTCCCTCCCCTCCTCCCTCTGCCTGTTCCCTTCCCTCTATTCTACTCATCTTTCTGCTATTTACTTATAGGTTTTTTTGTTTGTTTGTTTTTTGTAAGATTAGTGTCTTGTGGATACACATGATGGTGAAATTCACTTTAAGTGGATTTGGAAATAATTTTCAGATTGGACAATGGGATGATACATAACTTTGTGGATGGGTCCTTTTGGAATAATAAACATAAAAATGGTGGTGATTGATACAGCTGAATGAATTATAAAAATAAATGTTTCTGCATGTGGATTTACTTCTAGTGATTGTGAGGGATGATCCAGATGTGAAAATATCACAATTAAGTGTATTAGTGAGATGAATGCACAACCAGATACCATGTGTTACCCAACATTGCCATGTAGTTTTTATAAAATGGCTGAGGATGCCACAATGGGGGAATGAGGCACTATAGTCATGAAAGTAATGGCAGCAGAGGAGCCTAATGATAAGGGGCACCAATGGCATCCTTTGTTCACTAGAAAACTGGGGGCTTCTAAGAATAGAGTTGGGTGTTGCCATATAAAAAAACCCAATGTGAGAGGGCTTTGTAAACAGGTAGTATCTTTGAAGATGGTGCTAACTAAAAACTTAAAATTGTTTACCTGCTGTTCACAGAATTATTTAAAGCTCTGGGTATAAGGCAAATCTGTTGTGGCTGATGAAATAATCTAATGAGGCCTGCCACCCCACTCTGAAATACTGAAATACAGTTAAGCACTATCTCACTAATAACCACAGTTATGAATATCATAAAATTATAGAGTCCATTGTGCGTAATGAATGCATATATTAAGCAGTGTCACACTGTTAAAGCCTGTTCAGAGACCTGTTATCTTTGCTTCTAGAGTTCTAGTGAAGTATGAATCTTCCTGCCCTGACTTCCTCAGAATAGAACTTCATGATATAAAATCATTTAGTTACAGACTAAAATTTTATGCTCACCTTTGGGGTATCTCATTTTATATTTACATTGTCCCTTTGATAGTATTCTTCGTGGTTTGTTGGAGGACAAAAAAAACTGGCAACCGGATACTATTCATTTTACCACATAAATAAGCTAACCTAGCTCATTATCTATACTGTCTATACCTGTCATACTGGGATCTTCTGTTATAAGCTTAGTAAAGAGACTACAATTGGCCTCTTGAAATCGTGACTTTACCAAAAAGTATGGAGGAAAGGGAGCACAAAAATAGATGTTAATAGTATCTAGAACACTTTCAGGGAATCAATGATTTCATCTTCTTTTGATACACTTTCCCTTACTTGAGGAATTTGATATACCTTCCCTTACTTGGGAATTTTCTTGATATCTTTGTTAATTAAACTCCAATCTTTGTAGTCACCCTAATAAAATACTTTGAGTTGAGCCCTTAATTCTTTCTTTTATTCATTGAAAAATTAAACAATCCCTAGTCAGACAAAATCAGTTAATTCTGTCTACCAAATGTATCTTTATCACCATGATAAAATCAGAGTGAAACTTATAGCATTTTCTGACCTTATGTAGTTTCAGCCCAAAATAGAAAAACAATATTCAGGATCTAGTTTTGTGTAGTAAAGTGTTAACTCAGTTGTTTGGGATTTTCAAACACTTCCCAGTCCAAGTAAAAGAAAGCCATGTTACTGCTTTGTGGAAGATGAAACCCTTTGGAATGTATTACCTGTTAAGGGTGATGGTATATAATTTGGGCCTTGGGACATGAAAATGTATTGGTTCTTTCCCACTGATGTCACAAATGCCTGAGGCTGCATGACTTATAAGGAAAAGAGTTTTATTTATCTCATGGATTTGGAGAATGAGAACTCCAACTGAATGATTTCAACTCTGGTGAGTGTCCCTCAATTTGTGTCCCTTCATGCATATGGCTTCAGAGTGAAACCACATGCCAGAAGAAGAGTTCATATGGCAGAACAAGAAGGCAGAAAGCAGGGAGGGGCAGGTCCTTCCCTAGCAATTGGGAGCAGGAAGGTGGTGTTCAATTGCTCTCCATCTGGTTTCTATTCAGTAGGAAAAGCTCCTTCAGGGAAAATTTTCAAGAGGAAATTTGTGTTAGGAACTACTGATCTCACTATTGAAGATGACAATCACAGGAATTTGGTACTAATAAGAGTACATGTTGTTGTATCTATACCAGGTGACATGGTTCAGAAACCTTTATAATAAGTTTGTGGAAAGAGTTTGAAAAATTTTGGGGAAATGGGTTACAGAATCCCTAGACTTTCAAAAACAATCTTAACAGGTGACTCCAATGGGGCTTAGAAGATCAGAATACAGATAGAACTGTGGACAGCAATGGCTATGCTGATGAGTTTTTGGATAGAAATGAGAACTGTCTTGGAAACTGGTCAAGGGGTATATGTCTTATGTTCTAAAAAAAGAAAAATTATTTACATTTTGTCCATGCCCTGAAAGTTTGAGAGGCTCAATAAAGATCATGGACTAATTGCTATGATGGAGGAAACTTCAAGGCAGCACAAATTTCAAACATTTTCATGGGTATTACTGGCTGCTTCAGTCATGTTTACAGTGAGAAGAAGTAAGTTTAAATCAGCAGAGAAATGAAAACATGCAGTTTGGCAAGCAAAGGAGCATATTAATAGTGTCCAAGGAGACAGAAGTTGATCAAGAGATTAGAGACATTCCAAAGAAACCAAGTACAGTAGGAAAGGTGCCTTTGGACTTCTCAGGAATTGACAAGGCCCCATCAATTCCAGGCTCAAGGATATAAAAAATATAAACTCGTTTCAAAGTCTGCTTTGAGAAGGAAGCCCCAAAGTGCCCTCATCCAGCAAGACAATTGCTGTCCTGAGATTTGTTTCCTGGTATCAGCTGGGAAGGCACTCAGAAGCATATGCAGGCTTGGTTGAAGTCCATTCAGGTGTAACTCCCATTAGCAGCAAAACTTGGTATCAACTAGGTGATGCTGGTTTCACAGGCTTGCAGAAGGGAAGAGTTGTGGGTCACAGAGGCTTCCACTGAGATTTCAAAGGAAGGTCTGGGAGGCCAGGTGATGTGTGGTGGGGTTGGAAGCCCTGCAAAAATCCCTTGATATAATGATGTGTGAAACTGTTGAGAGTGAAGGTGAAGCTGCTGTGGAGAAGTTAGAGGGTCCAGAAGTACAGAACACTTGCCATGGGAGGTGCCATCCGTGACCTGATCCAGTCCATCAGGGTGGGTCTGCTCCAGTCCTTTTGATCTCACATCACACCCTGTGTCTGAAATACTATACATGGAATTACAGGATTTAATCTATACCCTGATGAATTTTGGTCCCTTCTATGTACCTATTTACCCCCTTTGAAATGGGAATGTGTCTCCTGCCTCTGTCCCATGTTATTTGTTGGAATATAGCTTTTTAAACAGGGAGTCACAGCTAAGAGTTTTAGGGGAGACTTTGGTCTTGGAGATGCTAGAACTGTTAAGACGAAGGGAGTCTTTGGAAATTAACTCAGTGCATTTTGCATTATGGGATACACATGAAATTTTTGGCATGGGGGCAGAATGTTAAAGTTTAGATCTGAAGTGTGCCCCAATAAGTTATCTGTGAAATGCTTTATCACCAGCTGGTGGTATGATTGGAAGGTGGTAAATATTTCAGAAATTTGTACCTGGTTGAAGGGATTTAAATCAGTGGGAGCATGACCTTGAAGGAAGTATTGGGATCCTCATAACTTCCTCTCTCTTCTTCTTGTCTTCAATGAGGTGAGCAGGTTGTTCCACCATGGACTGCCCAATATACTTTCCATTTCCATAGACCCAAGGCAACAGGGCAAAGCAAACATGGAAAGAAACTTCTGAAACCATTTGCCAGTATAAATTTTCCCTTGATTTAAGTCATTGCCTTGATTTAACTCAAGTATTTTGTTACTGAGACAGAAAGCTGACTCACATACCGGTATTAATTTTTATATGTATTTGGAACTACTAAGTTTCAAGTTTTTTCAAGGGTGTCAGGTTCTTCACTGTAATTATTCCATAGAATACTCTTTCTATAAATTCAGAAAGAAAAATGTTTTAAAGCTAATTCCATCTCCCTATTCAGAAACATTTTAGGTGTCTACACTATACAAATATTCTCTCATGTTTCAAAGAATTACAGTTTCTTTCAACTTCTTATGGTTCATAAAGTATCTTGTTTACAATAATTTAGATTCATCATTATAAATGGAATTGTTATTTCTTTTGCTTCTATTTATTTTAATTTTTGATGGTGTCTTGGAGTAATCTTTATATTTGTTCCTTTTTCTTGCTTTTTGATTAGTATCCAATTTATGAAATTCCTTAGAAGTGTGTCACTTTGATGGAGGGATCTTCCAGCTCTGTTTTTCTTGAGCCTTTCCAACTAGAACAGATATGAAAAAAATACATGATGAAAGAAATACAAACAAGAAAGGACATGGAGAAAGCAGGTATCTCCTGCATTCTTTAGAGCAACCTGGTCCTTTCCCCACCAACCTTGGTTAAAAAAAAGACACCTGCCCATGTATTTCAGTAAAACTTGTGAACTAAAAGTCAAATATTCCTGTAGTATTTGGAAGGCAGCTTTCATGGTTTCTACTGTCATCCTTGGGTACCATGTAATTCTCCAAAGGAGTCTTTGGGAAAATCAGGGAAGCACAAAATTTTAAAAAATCTTTCCCAATCATTTATCATTTTAAAATTCCTTTATTTACCTTTACATTCTTTTATTTTGTGAATACTTTCATTCCTAGTGAAAACAAGATAGTCTGAATCTCACAGGCAACACAACAAGACTCCTCCCCTAAAATGTATTGACAGCTATGGAAGGGACCCTAGTCTTGTAATGATCACCCCTGGGTTCTTCAGTGACCAGGGGAGAGCTCAAGCCTATAAGAAATGACAATGCCAGACAGCTACCAGCAGTCATTGGGCTACAGGATAGTAGGACATAGAGAGTGAGATTTGTCATTTGTATATGTGCATGTTTGGGAAATACCTTCAGTTACACTGTAGCAGCAAGGACTGAGTAGATCTAATTGTGTTGCATTTACTACTAAACCTACTGGGGAAGTTTGGGAAGAAATCGATGGCATGATCTAGAAATCTTCAGGGGAATATCTGAGATCACTGGTTAAAGGATATTCCTTTTACTAAACCAATGGTACTGACCACATGGAAAGAGAGTAAGTCTACAATTTCCAGAGACATAGGGCCCCAGTGGAATCTGTCTTCTCATCTCAGATTTATGGTACATAACTCCTCTAAGGAACCATGAAAGGGTTCATTCACCCATTTTCTATATCTTGGAGGGAGTCAGGCAGTTGATGATTCCTGGTTTCTGGAAGGAGGAAGACAACAAGGCCAGCAAAGATGCAGGAGGCTGCATAGATGATCCAGGGCAAGGGTTCAGCATATGTCTCCAGGGTCATCAACAGGGGAGCCACAGCTGCTCCAAAACTACCGCAAACTCCAATTATTCCAAAAGCTGTTGCCCTTGGAGAATAAACAACAAGGCATAATAAATCTGTTTAGAATGCACATGGGTTTGTGTCACCTTCATGCATTAATTATTGGCGACCTAAAGGGGTATGCTTTGTCATGAGAAGTTTGATGATGTGCTCTTGCTTTTGAAATTTTTGTTGGTTTGCTAGCAAATTTTCTCAAGTTCACAGTCTATTAAGACATGTTTTATCATTTAGAAATGTATTGTTCATTTATTTAATTTTGCTTTATTGCTCATTTATTTTATTTTCTTATTCATTTACTTTATTTTATTGCTACTTTTCAATTATACAAATTATTGCATACATTTGTATATGAACATAATTTTGTCAAGTTCATTTTATAGTTCCCCCTCTATCCTGACTCTCTCCAATCGCCTATTCTAGAAGTTTCCTTCAATTATATTGAAAATTCATGGTTCCCCACTTTTTTCTTTCTAGCTTTCATATATGAGAAAACATTCAACCCTTGAGTTCCTGAGTCTGGCTTATTTTACTCTGCATGGTCTTCTCAAATTCCATCCGTTTACCTGCAAATTACATAATTCTCTTCTCTTTATGCCTGCATAAAACTCCATTGTGTATATTTACCATATTCTCCTTATGCACTCATCTGTTGATGGACACCTGGGCTGGATCCATAACTTGGATATTGTCAGTTGCAAAATAGCCTCTCAAATTTAGGTGACTCCAAAGAATGCATGAGATGTACATTAGTGGTATATTATCACACCTAAAAGTACCTAGCAAAAAGCTAACTTTGAGTAAACTGTGGCTGTAATTGTTATCATCACCACTGATTATTTGTGTTTTCTTTGCTTGAAAAATCAATGATTTGGAAACAGGCCCTTTTTACCCTGATAGAGGACCTGTGAGATTTTGTACCTGATGACGGTGGGGAGCAGTTCATTTGCCTGGGTCAAAGAACAGGTAATAGAGGCAAAACAAATTCCTCCTCCCAAAGTTGTCAGAATCATACACACAGTCGGCATTTCTGGAAAGAAGATGATACAGGAGAGTCAGGGTCTTAGATGAAAGTATTGGTATCCCCCAAATCCAAGTGGAAAACACCCTTATTGGAGATATTCACAGTGTAAAATATACTGTGGATAAACTGCACAGGAGTGAAATTTGTGACCAAAATAAGTTATTACCTGAATATTTTAAATTATGGTGAATAAAATGTTTTTATAATTTTATTAATTCTCCTTGCCTCTCCAAGATTTGTCAAAGAAGGAGAGAGAATGCTGGATGCAGGAGGAACTCGTTCTTTTTCTTTCCAGTGTCTCTTGTATCATTTATGAGGAAGATAGGACTGTGATGTGGGAATTACTGAGGAGTGTCAGACCCAGGCACTCAAGGAATTTAAAACCATGATCCATGCCCAGTAGTAATATGGAGTGAAGATTATAAAAGACTGTTATAAAAGAACAAGAATACTATTTTAATGGACAGCCTGGAGAGTAGCCAGATCTAGTAAAATGCATGAAGACTCAAGAATAAGGACTTCTCTTACGGAAACATGTCACACTTTGCAAACGACTGAAGGAAACTTTCATATAGTCAGTTATCTTCTCTAAGAAGAAAATCTCATGAGAGCTTGAAACCTCGGAGTAGGCTTTCTTGCAGAGCAGCAAACTGACATTATTGTTGACATTCAAGAGAAATGGAGCCTATAGTTGGGCGTGATGGCACACAACTATGATCTCATCTTTTCTGGAGGCTAAGACAGGAGGTTTGAGAGTTCAAAGCCAGCTTAACCAATGTAGCAAGACCCTAAGAAATGCAGTAAGACCCTGTCTAAAAATAATACAGGTGAGAGATGTGGCTCAGTTGTTAACTGCCACTGTGGTACATTCCTGGTACTAAAAAAAGAGAGTGAGAGAGACTGAGGAGTGGAACTCACCAATGTGGGATTTTGTAAAACACATTACAACAAAGGAGTTCAGCAAAGCATGATGATGGATATGTTGTTGCTAATATACACTTCTTCTCACTTGAACACAAGGGGTGTTATTTCCTTAAGTCAAAACAACTCTCCAATCCAGGGATGCATTTCTGGTTACCTACCATGAGACTAATGTATAGAAACAGAGTTCAGGAATAAATTATCACTGAAGGTGAAGTAATAAGACAGAGCCAGGCAGAGGAAGTGATAGTACAGTGTGGTCATAATAGCTCATGATGGTAAGTCCAGACCCTTTATTTTGCAATGGGTAAATGTTGTACTGCTGACCTAGAGAAACTCAGAACTCAGTGGCACCATGTTCCAGGTACTTATTGATCATAATGAAGAGAAACAGGCATCTGAACAAACTTTACTGACTTTTGGCTGTTTACCTAGCAAACTAATGGCAAAATCTGTCCTAAAAGCCCAACTTGTGTCAGGAAGACCTTAGAACCCAATTTTTCTGATTCCTATAGGTGCAACCTGAAAAATCCTGAGGGAAGTGAGGAACATATTTCCTTTTTCACCCTGTGCTCTTTCCTCACCTGAAGGCACAAATATGGTGGCCAGCAAAGTGATTCCCATCATGGACATGAAAAAAATATATATTTATACGATGGCCCCTGTGTTTCAGCGCCCAAAGTGAAAGATAATTGGCTGGGAGTTTGACTACACCAAGGAGAACCTGGACCAGGAAAACATTGACCCCCAGGTGCTGGAGGTGGAGATTCAAGCCAAAAGTAGGCAGCACTATTGCAAATCTGTAGCAAATACACAGGAAAGACACATGCCACAAGGGTTAGCACTTATATCCTTTAGATAATGGTAATACTGGCTCAGTCATTTGTTGGGGTTAAAACATACAGGCATATCTCTTTTTTGGAATATGTGCCTATGGGTGATTATTTTTTTAATTATTAGCTGTAATAAAACAAATGTATGATGCTGGAGGCCATCAGGGATGTTTAGTTTGGGGGCATGTGAGGAATATTGTGGAAATATAATACAATCCTTAAAGGGTCTTTAGGATTTTAGAGTTTTTTTCAGCTCTTGATCTGAGTGTTGGAAATATCTTTACATATGTAAATATGCAGTGAGTTACATATATTTATGCAATTCACTCTTTGAAATTTTACCTCCATTAAAGCAAACAATGAAGAAAATCAGAGACAATGTCTGTTCATAGTTGGAGTTTGCAGCATCAGTCTCTGGTGTGAGCCTAGCTGTGTGATATGATAAACAGGACTCCTCACTGTGCAATGGTTCTGTGTCAGTCTTTACATGACCCTCTGAATGTCCACAGCCATATTGGTGCTCTTTATGTCTTCCTCATCTTTTATCTCCAAAGCTGTGCTCACCACATATTGTACACTTTGAAGGAAGAAATAAAAGAGTCAGGATCAGGAAAAGTAGGGGGAAAATGCCCTTCTCACAAATATTTTCCAGGCTATTTAGTAGTAATAGTAATTTATAAATGTGCATAACAAACTACTTCTACCAGAACTCTTGTACTTATTAATTTATTAGTTATTTGGAGATATTAATTCCATTGCCATGTCTCCTCTACAAATGTGATAATACTATAAACGTCTTCAGAAAAATTTTGTGAAGAAGGGAATTCAGAGAATTGACCTACTTCCATGACTGGGGAATTCTACACCATTGGGAATGGCCCGACAGCTTTCAGCCCTAGCTTCAGTAGTGGAAACAGGATTTATGCTTGTGTTAGAGAGGCATCTGTGGTGATACCCTCTGCACCAAACACATAAACCCATGACCACTAGTCATTGTTCTTGTGGTATTAATAAGAATTGGCTGCAAGAAGACCTTAAATCTGTCTCAGATGAGGGCTGCAATGCCTGAGAGTGGTCTTCAAACCCTTCCATTATCAAAGTCAAACATCAGGGCATACTGGCTTAATTTGGTACCAGTTACAAATTTTTGATGAGCTTACAGAAATGAGTGGAGCTTCCAAAGATATTTAGGTGGGTAATGCTAGCTGACATTAGGGCCTTTACAAGTTGTCCTTCCTGGTAACCCTTATTTGGGGAAGAAGCAGCACCTATTCAAATGGGAGTTATGCTGGTTCTTCACATTTTATGAATGTATCTTTCTCTGTGACTTCCTTTCTATGCCCATCATCACACCATGATTTGGGGAAAAGCCTGAAATTGTCTCAGTTTTCCATGTGTGCCAACATAGGTGCCTTGAAGTCAGTTCATACTGATTTATAAGAGCTCTTTGTTAAATTTTTAATGATTAAGAGCCTGTTGACATCATAAGGTTAGCTGGAATTTGACTCTGGTGGAATTTAGCAATCCACAGAAATTAATAATTGCTACAATTCTGGACTCTAGGATTTTTTTCAAATCTTTGAATGTTGGAGTTAAACGTTTACCAGGACACCAGTCACTTTGCCCTTCTGAAGTCATTTGGACTCTACTCAAATGCAAATAACCATATACCCTGACTGTTGAAACCTGGATGGTTCTACCCTAATCTCGAAGACACATTTCAGACACTACAATTTTCAAGATGCATTCAAAGCCTCCATCTCTACATTGAGGTTAGGTTTCCCTCTTTGGGATTCACTTTGCCACATTACTTGACTGCTCAAAGGCTGTATCAAGCCCACTGACCTGGTGAGGATGGGTGATCTTTCTGAAGACAGGAGCTGGAAATGCTTCTGTCCCCTATCTGTCAAAGAATTTGTCACAGGGAGTTATGGAACATGCTCAGACAGGAAGTGCAAAAAAGGAAAAACAGTTATGGGGAAAGAGGGCAAAACACACAGACCCAGGGCAGAATGCATTTGGAAGCTGAAAGAACTGACATTCCCGTGCCATTTGAGTAATAAAACAAATAAATTTAGCTTTGGGACATTGTTTATGAACTTGTTCATTGATAGACAATGGTGATAACTATTTTCTGCTTCTCAAATTACTTTTTAGTGTATAATCAATATTGAAAAATCTTCCCATATTTAACAATACATCTTAATGATTTTGGAAGTAACTGCATAGCTGTGAAGTTGTCACCAAAACCTATACATCAATATACTGAGTCCCTTCAAAATTTCTTTTCCCCCTGTGTATTCATTTTTATTTTTTATTTTTATAAGAATAGTTAGAACAAGATCTGACCTCTTGTACATTTTGAAGTACATAATATAGTATTGTTTATTACTGTCAGAATGCCATACAGTGGATTTCTAGGACTTATTTGTCTGATGTATTTCCACGATGAATATGAGAATGCAGAGATCTCCTCAAGATCCAAATTTGAATTCCTTTGGATATATACCAAGTTGTGGGACTGCTGGATCAAATAATTCTATGCAAATTTGTGAGGAATTTCCATATTGTTATCCACAATGGTGGCATCAGTTTACATCATTATCATCAGTGTGTACAAGGTTTTTTTTTTCCTCCACATTCTCATCATTAGCTATCCTTGACTTAATAATAGCTCTCCTAACAAGTATAAGGTAATGTCTGATTTCTACTTCCCTGATGCTCAGTGATGTTAAGCATTTTTTTACATGCCATTTTGTCATTGTGTCTTCCTTAACACATGTCCACATTTCAAGACAAAAGAAACAGAAACACAAAAAACAACTTACAGAACACAGTAAAATCAGTAATAAGGAGGTACAGGAAAAGCATCAGATGAAATTCAGCATCCTCTCATCATAAAACCTCTCATCAAATTAGGTATTCAAGGATCATATCTCAACACAGTAAAGCCCATTTGTGAAAATCCCATGGCTAACATGACACTGATGGGCATCAGGGGAGCCTAAAGCTTTCTTTTTAATGTCTAGAACAACGCAAAGATGACAATCTACCACTTCTTTTCTATGTAATATTGGAAATATTCAAGTAATCAGAACAGAGAAAGGAATAAAATGCATTCAAATATGGAGAAAAAGAAGTTAAATTACTCTGCTTGCAGATGACATGAGCTTATAGAGAGAAAATGCTAATGAGTCCATCAAAAAGCTAGTAGAACTCATAACCAAATTCAGTAATCTGTGTGATACAAAGTCAACATGAAAAAATCAGTATGATTTCTTTTTTTTTTTTTTTTGGATTTTCAAAGTTGCTATTTTTATTCATTTTTCATCTTACTATAAATTTTAAAAATTAACAAATATTCACTTAGCATCACATTTTATGGGGCAGTGTTTTCCATATAATTTATCTGATATGACTTATATAAAAATTAAAGAGATAATAAGACTGTTTCCTGTATTTCAGCTCTGACAGCCAGAGCTTAAAACCTAAGGCCTCCCCCTCGCCCCCCCAAAAAAAGTTATAAAATTATGGGCTTTAGTTAAGTTAGTATCCTGAAAGCAGTGATTTTTTAAGGGGCTTTAAAAAATGAAGCTTTATATTTGGGATACCTTTCCATTCCAGTATTTGCCTCCATAATTTAAAAGGCTGAGCTGTGGTTGAGGTTATTTTGGATTACAATGTATCATCACATTTTTTTAAATTTTTTATTGTTGGCTGTTCAAAACATTACATAGTTCTTGATATATCATATTTCACACTTTGATTCAAGTGGGTTATGAGCTCCCATTTTTACCCCATATACAGATTGCAGAATCACATCAGTTACACATCCATTGATTTACATATTGCCATACTAGTGTCTGTTGTGTTCTGCTGCCTTTCCTATACTCTACTATCCCCCCTCCCCTCCCCTCCCCTCCCCTCTTCTCTCTCTGCCCCCTCTACTGACATTCATTTGTCCCCCTTGTATTATTTTTCCCTTTCCCCTCACTTCCTCTTGTATGTACTTTTGTATAACTCTGAGGGTCTCCTTCCATTTCCATGCAATTTCCCTTCTCTCTCCCTTTCCCTCCCACCTCTCATCCCTGTTTAATGTTAAACTTCTTCTCATGCTCTTTGACCCTACTCTGTTCTTAGTTACTCTCCTTATATCAAAGAAGACATTTGGCATTTGTTTTTTAGGGATTGGCTAGCTTCACTTAGCATAATCTGCTCTAATGCCATCCATTTCCCTGTAAATTCTATGATTTTGTCATTTTTTAATGCAGAGTAATACTCCATTGTGTACAAATGCCACATATTTTTTATCCGTTCATCTATTGAAGGACATCTAGGTTGGTTCCACAGTCTTGCTATTGTGAATTGTGCTGCTATGAACATCGATGTAGCAGTGTCCCTGTAGCATGCTCTTTTTAGGTCTTTAGGGAATAGACCGAGAAGGGGAATAGCTGGGTCAAATGGTGGTTCCATTCCGAGCTTTCCAAGAAATCTCCATACTGCTTTCCAATTTGGCTGCACCAATTTGCAGTCCCACCAGCAATGTACAAGTGTACACTTTTCCCCACATCCTCGCCAGCACTTGTTGTTGTTTGACTTCATAATGGCTGCCAATCTAACTGGAGTGAGATGGTATCTTAGGGTGGTTTTGATTTGCATTTCTCTGACTGCTAGAGATGGTGAGCATTTTTCATGTACTTGTTGATTGATTGTATGTCCTCCTCTGAGAAGTGTCTGTTCAGCTCCTTGGCCCATTTGTTGATTGGGTTGTTTGTTCTCTTATTGTCTAATTTTTTGAGTTCTTTGTATACTCTGGATATTAGGGCTCTATCTGAAGTGTGAGGAGTAAAGATTTGTTCCCAGGATGTAGGCTCTCTATTTACCTCTCTTATTGTTTCTTTTGCTGAGAAAAAACTTTTTAGTTTGAGTAAGTCCCATTTGTTGATTCTAGTTATTAACTTTTGTGCTATGGGTGTCCTATTGAGGAATTTGGAGCCCGACCCCACAGTATGTAGATCGTAGCCAACTTTTTCTTCTATCAGACGGCATGTCTCTGATTTGATATCAAGCTCCTTGATCCATTTTGAGCTAACTTTTGTGCATGGCGAGAGAAAGGGATTCAGTTTCATTTTGTTGCATATGGATTTCCAGTTTTCCCAGCACCATTTATTGAAGATGCTATCCTTCCTCCATTGCATGCTTTTAGCCCCTTTATCAAATATAAGATAGTTGTAGTTTTGTGGATTGGTTTCTGTGTCCTCTATTCTGTACCATTGGTCCACCCACCTGTTTTGGTACCAGTACCATGCTGTTTTTGTTACTATTGCTCTGTAGTATAGTTTGAAGTCTGGTATCACTATACCGCCTGATTCACACTTCCTGCTTAGCATTGTTTTTGCTATTCTGGGTCTTTTATTTTTCCATATGAATTTCATGATTCCTTTCTCTATTTCTACAAGAAATGCCGTTGGGATTTTGATTGGCATTGCATTAAACCTATAGAGAACTTTTGGTAATATTGCCATTTTGATGATGTTAGTTCTGCCTATCCATGAACAGGGTATATTTTTCCATCTTCTAAGATCTTCTTCTATTTCTCTCTTTAGGGTTCTGTAGTTTTCATTGTATAAGTCTTTCACCTCTTTTGTTAGGTTGATTCCCAAGTATTCTATTTTTTTTTTTTGAAGATATTGTGAATGGAGTGGTTGTCCTCATTTCCATTTCAGAGGATTTGTTGCTGATATACAGGAATGCCTTTGATTTATGCGTGTTGATTTTATATCCTGCCACTTTGCTGAATTCATTTATTAGCTCTAATAGTTTCTTTGTAGAGCCTTTTGGGTCTGCTAGGTATAGAATCATGTCACCTTCACATAGTGATAATTTAAGTTCTTCTTTTCCTATTCTAATGCCTTTAATTTCTTTCATCTGTCTAATTGCTCTGGCCAGTGTTTCCAGAACTATGTTGAACAGAAGTGGTGAGAGAGGGCATCCTTGTCTTGTTCCAGATTTTAGAGGGAATGCCTTCAATTTTTCTCCATTCAGAATGATGCTAGCCTGAGGCTTAGCATAGATTGCTTTTACAATATTGAGGTATGTTCCTGTTATCCCTAGTTTTTCTAGAGTTTTGACATAAAGGGATGCTGTACTTTGTCGAATGCTTTTTCCGCATCTATCGAGATGATCATATGGTTCTTATTTTTAAATCTATTGATGCGGTGAATAACATTTATTGATTTCCATATATTGAACCAGCCTTGCATCCCAGGGATGAATCCTACTTGATCATGGTGCACAATTTTTTGATATGTTTTTGTATCCGATTCGCCAGAATTCTATTGAGGATTTTTGCATCTAGGTTCATTAGAGATATTGGTCTGTAGTTTTCTTTCTTTGAAGTGTCTTTGTCTGGTTTAGGTATCAGGGTGAGGTTGGCCTCGTAGAATGAATTTGGAAGTTCTTCCTCTTTTTCTATTTCCTCAAGTAGCTTGAAAAGTATTGGTATTAGTTCCTCTTTAAAGGTTTTGTAAAACTCTGCTGTATACCCATCCAGTCCTGGGCTTTTCTTAGTTGGTAGTCTTTTGATGGCTTCTTCTATTTCCTCAATTGATATTGATCTGTTTAGGTTGTGTATATCCTCCTGACTCAATCTGTACAGATCATATGACTTAAGAAATTTATTGATGCCTTCACTATCTTCTATTTTATTGGAGTATAAGGATTCAAAATAATTTCTTATTATCTTCTGTATTTCTGAAGTGTCTGTTGTGATATTGCCTTTTTCATCCCGTATGCTTGTAATTTGAGTTCTCTCTCTTCTTCTCTTCATTAGCATGGCTAAGGGTCTGTCGATCTTATTTATTTTTTCAAAGAACCAACTTTTATTTTTGTC